ATTCCTGCTCACTTTTGCACGCCTCGCAGCATCTCTCAGAAGGAAAACACACGCGAGTGCTGGCTCTGGCCTCCCTCTTCTGCACAGTTTCCAGGCCTCCTCTTGGCTAGTCCTCTTCCTTCCCTCTGGGACTTAGCCCAGCCCTACCCTGTTGTCCTATCCCCCTGGTCTCTCTTTTTGTCACTTATCTCATTTCCCGACAGGACTAAATTCAGGTCATCCAAGCACGGCCTGAAGAGAGCTTGTGCTAATAAGGCTTGGCCAGATCTCTCGCACCCCACCCCCATCTCCACACTGCTGGGGCTCCCCCTTTTCCCTCGCTGTGGCCAAGGACTCTCAGAGAGCTCCTTTCCCTCCACCGTCGCCTCCACTGGGAAGGAGTCCGTTTGCTTTTCTCTTTCAACACTCACACTTACCAGGAACTCCGAAGAGTTCAAATGGCCATGCAGCTCCTGCCTGGTTAGAGCGTGCGCGAATGGAAGAATGAGTATTCTGTCCCCCAAGAAGTAGAACAAGTAGAAAACATAATCAGATGAAAAAAAAATAAAAATAAGGGAGCTAGGTTGATTTCTACACAACTGATTTATAAACATTTTCAAAGGGATTCAGGAATTGCTTCTAGATGAGCCCCTGTAATGCATAAGGGTTAGCAAGGAGGACGTAGGCTGGGTCCAGGTGCTTGAAGAGCTCAAAGTGCAGGAGTGAGGTGAGCTGGCGTACACATGTCTGGCAGGGGAGAGGCCCTGGGAGGGTCAGGCATCCGTAATGAAGCACGCCTTCCTGCTTGTCCTGTTTCCAGGTCTTTCTCAGCATGGGCTAATACAGAGGAACACACATAGACTCCAGTCATCTCGAACAGGAATGTATGTGTTTATTAACATTTTTTGAGAGGATGTGCAGGGTGAGGGGATGGGCATTACAAAGATCAACAAGGCGATGTCATCTGGGATTAAAAAAAAAAAAAAAGTACCATTTCTCATGGGTCTCTCAAGTTCCATGTCTCCTGGCGACTACTTAAAATCTTTCCTGTTTTAGAGCCAAGTGTCCTACTGCTTGGTGGTCTCAGTTCTCCTTGCCTTTGTCAACCTCAAGACGTATTTCTCACTCCCAACCTCACAGATGTTTTCTTTGCATCTCTTTGCAGCATCTTTGTTTAATCTCTCTTATGCGTGTTTTAAAGCTTTTTTTTTTGTCTGTGTGTATGAGAGAGAGGACGAAAGACAGACAGCATTTCTGACAGGATGATAATCCATGGGGATCTGTTCCCAGCCTCAGCCATCCCTGGATCATGGGCACGCCTACTCCCAGAGTGTTCAGGAAGGTCTCTGGACACGAGTCCAGAACTCTCCCATGAAGGCCAGCGTAGCAGGGCGTTATAATAATACTGCATCACGGTCTAGTCCCAGCTCCTCTTGTTCTTCTCTCACATTCTTTCTCACCTCTCCTTGAGTAAGTGAAGCTTGGGGGAAATCGAGCAGGCAAAGAAACATCCTTCAAGACAGGATGACCTCAGGAAAACCTCCCAGGTTAATCCCCACCCCTACTCTGAGGCTGGAAATCTCCCACCCTTTTGTGCTCCATAAAATGGCTTCCTGCAGAAAACCACCCTTCCCCGTGTGACTTACGTAAGATTTGCTTCCCAAATGTATATCTGAAGTTCTAATCCCTAGTACCTCCAAATGTGATTGTTTGGAGAAAAGGGCTTTAAAAGAATAATGAAGTTGAAATGGGGCTGGTAGGGTGGTCTCTCATCCAGTAAGACTGTTATCTTTAAAAGAAGAGATTAAAGTTCAGATACATACAGAAGGAAAGCCTTGTGAGGACACAGGAGGAAGACGGTCACCTATAAGCCAAAGAGAGATGCCTTAGAAGAAAACAGCCAACACCTTAATCATGGACTTCCAGCCTCCAGAACTGTAAAGGAAATCAATTCCTGTTGTTGAAGTCACTCAGTCTGTGGTATCCGTTATGGCAGCTTGAGCAGCTAATCCACCCACTGTCCACTCATTCTTGTGACACTGCTAGGACTTGTAGATAATCCCTCATTTACCTGTGACAGGGGTAGACACAGACCCTCCAAATTCCCATTCTTTGCCTCATAAATGATCAGTTCAACTGTTTGTCTCCTGAAACTAGACACAGAGATGGGCATTTCCTGTTCAGCTGATTGACGGACTCCCCCTCATTGCAAAAACCTCCCAACTGCAAACGCACCACACCTGTGACTTCTCTACTCCTCCCTGAGCAAGTCCTGACAAAATCACCTGCCACCTTCTGATCTTCAGGTCTGGATTCTCTCCCTTCTGGCACAGCCTGAATAAAATCAGTTTCCTGACCTGTTTATTTTTTGTCTTTAATAGTTTGCTGCTGTGACTTGGATGGTCCTCTGTCTTCTCCACCCAAGGACTGTAATGTCTTGAGCCTGTTGTGCTTCTCCAGTGCCTGGTAGTCAGAGAGTTCATGGTGAGTACAACTCCTGATCCTTGTGCTCAGAATATTTGCCCAAGGCAGCCTGGTAAGGATTTGGGTTTGATGCTCTGAGTGAATTTTCAGTTTTGTTGCTACTTCTATTTAACCTTGGTATATTATGGGAAATTCTCAATCCCTTCTACTAATATGTTTCTCACTATGGTAAGAATTCAATTTATTACCTTAAAAACATGGCAGGATTTTGGACGGTCCTATAAGTCTAAAGGTTAAGGGAGTCAGATCTCACATGGCCAGCCCCAGTTCAAATCCCAGCCCTGGCAGCTTGAATAACATTCCGAGCACATGCATATGCACATGCAAAATTCCAACAGGATGGAGAAATGGAGGAAGAGGGATAGAAGCATGACCACGCCCCATTGAGGAGTGCTTTTTTTCTTCTCTCTCTCTCTCCCTCTATCTCTCCCTGGCAAGTGAATGAGCCTTCTGGCCACTTAAAAAAATGGCAGTATTTATCTGAGGACAACCTAGAACTTCAGCAGCCTTTTGGGCGTACCTAGAATCTCCTTAAATTTGACCGTCTACAAGTATCCCTTAAATCTTGCAGCTGTAAGATGTCTTCTCTTCATTAAGTCAACTGGTTTTGCCTGATACAGATGTCTTCTCTTCATTAGTCAACTGGTTTTGAGTGAACAAGAAAATGTCTTGGATCTATTTCAAATAATATAGCCCTTTAAGGACTTCTGCTTACTACCAGTCTTTCCTCCTCATCTGCTGTGAATAAAACCCTGTGACTCTTTCCTTCCCAGAAACCTCCTTGGACTCCAGTGTTTCCCCTCACTCACAATTCTACCCTAGTCAGTGGGTCCACTTTTTCCTACTGGCCCCTACCTCTCTCCTTCACCCCTCTCCGTCTCTGTAAATTTCCATGTCCCCCTCTCCCCATCCTTTTCTGCTTTCTTTCTTTTCTTTTTCTTTTTTTTTCTTTTTATTTTTAACAAGGTCTTACAATCCTTCTGCCATGACCTCCCAGTTGGGACTGTGAGTATGTGCCACCACACCGGGTTCTTTTTTAGACAGGATCTTGCTGTGTTATCCAAGTCAGCCTTGTGCTCACTATCCTCCTGCCTCAGCTTCCCCACATCCCTGGGATGACAGTTACAGGCCATTGCACTTGGCCTTTAGGTTGGACCAGGAGTCAAGGTGGGGCCTCTCACATGGTCCCAACTTGAGGAGTACAACTTCTTAGTGGTATATACTACCATGGCTGGGTCTTCCTCTGTGTTTTTATGCTTCCACATCCATGATCGAAGAGCCCATCTGAACGAGGACTCACTCAGATTTACAGGCTATTGTTAATGACTTTCCCAATAGTAAAAATAGGGAAAAGCTTAATTATCAATTCACTCTAGTCCTTGGGGCATATTCTCTTGAGTTCTCTTATTTTTATGTACTGTGCAGCTGCCTGTGGGCATCAGAGATGCCACCTTATAGTTTGAGAAAGCCAAATTGGCCACGCTTCATGAGGACTTTCTAAGCAATTGGAACACCCTTGATGCTTACAGGCTAAAACCTTAGAGAAAATACTTTAGATCAGTGGATCTCTACCTTTTTGGCACCAGGGACCAATTTCATGGAAGGTAATTTTTCCATGGACTGGGGAAGGAGGGATGGGTTAGGGGATAATGCAGGTGCATTTTATGTGTTATACACCTTATTTCTATCATTATTATAATATTGTAATACATAATGGCATAGTTATACAACTCACCATAATGCAACTGTTCCCCAGTGCTAGGATCACTGCCTCAGCTCTACCTCAGATCATCAGGCTTCAGATTCTACTGAGGAGCATACAACCTAGATTGCTCATATGTGCAGGTCACAAGGGGGTTTGCACTCCTGTGAGGATCAAATGCCGCTGATGACCTGTGAACAGTGGGAAGCAGCTATAAATATAGATGAAGCTTGGCTCAGTCACCTGCTGTTCCCGTCCTGCTGTGCGGCCTCATTTTTAATAAGCCACAGACCAGCTTTGAAGTTTGGGGATCCCTGCATCAGAATACATTCTATGGTCTCCCTGCAAAAATACGTTGGTCAAAGATACAAGATAGCAGTCAATCAAGAAATGAATCTGCTCCTAAGTAGAGACATAGATTAGAACACATTGGGAAGAGCTACTTTAATCTTGGCTCTTAATGACTGATATATTCTGACTTCGTTACAAATTTGTGAATGGCTTATGACTAGGAATTAGAGATATTATCCAAAAACATACATAAATATGCAGATTGCTGCTCCCTGAAAATGCGCATTACTTAGCAGCATAAATACTCCATTGTAGAAAAGGCCAAACCAACACATGCAGACTGATGGCTTTACAATGTAAGTAATTAAAGGAAAGAAAACCAGGGTAGTCTGCTCCCTCAAGACCCAGAGCCACATGTCTTAACTGCAGTTTGAATCCTAGCTCAGGTGGCTTAAAGTACATACCAGGTGGGCATGTGTGTGTGCCCCAAATTCTGTCAGGATAGAGAAATGGAGGAGAAGCGGTTTCGGTATAGTCCCTCCCTCTCTCTTTCTCTCTGTCTTTCTCTACTAGCACACACACCCTCTGGCAGTGAAAAAAAAAAAAGACATTTTGGGAGAAAGAAGCCAGACACAAAAAGAGTTTGATTTTGTTTATATCAAATTATTTTTTTTTGTTTTTTTTTGGGGGGGAGAGGTTTTTGCTATAGGGTGCATGCGCTCGCCAGACAGAGAGAGAGAGACAGAGAGACAGAAAGCGAGAAATCACCCCCCAAGGGGGATGGTCACGCTGCAATCCCTTCTCCTCCATTCTCCTCTTGGGCTCTTGGGCACGCATGCACATGCGCCCGGCGTGAGTTTTAAGCCACCGCGTCCGGGACGCGAACCGCGGTCGACTACATGGGAGTCCAGCGACATAGCCTTATGCTAATTGCTGGTTCCCTGTATCAAATTCTTGAAAAGACAAATTCAAATCTATAGTGACTGAAAGCAAATCGATGGTTGCCTGGGGCTAACCGTGGCAAGGACTACCTGGGAAAAGACCTTACAGAAACGTTCTTGTGGCGACTGAAATGTTTTCTACCTGGACTGTGATGGCGGTCACACATGTACATGTTTGTCAAAGAGGAGCTTTTAATTGTACATAAAACTGTACATAAATCGAACCTTAAAAAATTAAAATAAATACAAAAATTTAAAAATGAGTCACATGTATGGGCAAAAATACTTTGAAAATAAGTCACAGAAAAAGAAATACTTTGGAGAAATGGAAGAGAAGGGATTTCAGGGTGACCATACACCATCAAGGGTGCTTTCTCCTTCTCTTTCTCTTTCTCTCTCTCTTTATTTGAAAATTACTTTGAAAATAAGTCACAGAAAAAGAAATACTTTGGAGAAATGGAAGAGAAGGGATTTCAGGGTGACCATACACCATCAAGGGTGCTTTCTCCTTCTCTTTCTCTTTCTCTCTCTCTTTATTTGAAAATTACTTTGAAAATAAGTCACAGAAAAAGAAATACTTTGGAGAAATGGAAGAGAAGGGATTTCAGGGTGACCATACACCATCAAGGGTGCTTTCTCCTTCTCTTTCTCTTTCTCTCTCTCTTTATTTGAAAATTACTTTGAAAATAAGTCACAGAAAAAGAAATACTTTGGAGAAATGGAAGAGAAGGGATTTCAGGGTGACCATACACCATCAAGGGTGCTTTCTCCTTCTCTTTCTCTTTCTCTCTCTCTTTATTTGAAAATTACTTTGAAAATAAGTCACAGAAAAAGAAATACTTTGGAGAAATGGAAGAGAAGGGATTTCAGGGTGACCATACACCATCAAGGGTGCTTTCTCCTTCTCTTTCTCTTTCTCTCTCTCTTTATTTGAAAATTACTTTGAAAATAAGTCACAGAAAAAGAAATACTTTGGAGAAATGGAAGAGAAGGGATTTCAGGGTGACCATACACCATCAAGGGTGCTTTCTCCTTCTCTTTCTCTTTCTCTCTCTCTTTATTTGAAAATTACTTTGAAAATAAGTCACAGAAAAATAAGCTTAGAATTATAATTAAACATGCAGTTTAGAACACTTTTCCTACCTATATAAATGCATGGTGAAGAATCCCGAAAATCACAGCAAACTGATAACTAGATGTTACCCAAGAGAAAAAGAAATTGACAAATAAAGAGACAGAGAGAGAAAGAGAAAGAGAAGGAGAAAGCACCCTCGATGGTGTATGGTCACCCTGAAATCCCTTCTCTTCCATTTCCCCATCCTGTTGGGATTTGGGGTACACGATCACATGGGCTGGATGTGTTTTCTTAAGCCATCAGGGCCAGGATTTGAACTCTTAATTGGCCATGCGGGATCTGGCTCCCTGATGCACTAAGTTATGGGGCTGGCCCTACATTGTTAGATTTTCAAAATCAGTATGTTTGTATTGTTTTTATACGTGTTTTTTAAAAAGAAATAAACACACACACACAAAATGACCCTTGTCCCAAATCATACAAGTATGTGCTCAAGTCTTAGCCGAAAGCTAAGGGCCGCCAGCTGCTTGGACTTGGCTGTGAAGGGGAACGGCAGTTCCCTTCTCCATCGGCTTCAACACAGGGCTCTGGGCTGGAGCAGGACGCTCTAGCAGGCCCTTTGCATGCTCTTCTGGGCCCTGGCTGTATGTGGGTCAGGCACATCATGTGGAAGTGCTAAGCTGGTGCAGAAGAATGTATTCCGTGTTGTTTGGCTACAAAGCCCTATTGTAAGCAATTTTTTTTCTTTGGTAAGTTTTGCTTTTTTTTTTATTTTTCAGTGACAACCAAATAATCTGATTTTCTCTACATCATTTTTTAAAATTATTAATTTAATTTAATTATTCATGTATTTATTTTAATTTGACCAGAGAAAGACACAGAAAAAGAGAGAGGTGGAAAATGAGAAAGCAAGCCACCAGGTCCAGGACTTGAACTATAGTCAGCCATGTAGGAATGAATGTCCAGTGCCTTAATCAGCATGTCATCTGCT